TTAGAAATCCTATTCTAAACAAGAAATAAGAATAAAAAGATAAACCTATTACAATTAGACATCTTATTATAATTATCTAACTTTTATCCTAGTTACAATAGGATTGTCCTACATCACTCTTGTATGGCCAAAGAATCCCTCACTACCCATCCCCCGAAAAGATGGTGGGAAAAGATATATGCAAGCTACTTTGAGACTCGTTTCATTTATTTGTTTTTCTGGGGATAGGTGGTCAGTCAGGTTGGTTTTTTTCCTTCCAATCCACTAAAAGAGAAATATTTTTAGATGAACACGTAGCAATGTAGTACAAATATTATGGAAAATTCTTGAATTGTCTACCAGTTAATGTGTTTGTGAGTCCAAGATCAGTCAGTAAGCAGAAAATGGGAGTTCAATCCCCATATGAATGACCACAGGGTGGGTGTTTGCTGTAGAAAGTTTTATACAATTTAGTCAAATATCACCGGAGCTGTATTGTACCAACAGCCTTGTTAAAGCATTCTTGGTTATCATCAGTAACTCATGATCAGGAAAGGTCTCTCCCTCTGAATATGCAAGCATGCTCTCTTTCTGCTATCATCTTATTATAAAACTGGGGGACCTTGGACAACTTCCTAATATGTGGTGAACAGATGTTGAGATCTCTGCATTTTATCTCTGAACTTGATATGTTTTGTACCCCTTTCTTTCCTACCCTGAACTTTGCTGTTCTCTACCTGTCTCACTGGGGGTATGTGCTAGTGGTTGTCCCTCTATGCGAATGTATAATTGAATGGACATATGATGAGCTCATTTAACTTCGTCCTACAAGGGCTGAGTGGTTGCAGTCTTGAAGTATATAAAGTACACAAAGGTTTATCTCATGCACGTAACTAAACACTTACACTGGCTCTTGCACCACCTATTTAGCTCTCATTGAAGTCATTTTCCAAAGGTTTAAATAATCACCTGAGCACATTTAATATCTATCTGTTCATCTTTTGTTTGTGTTTATGCCTGCTATATTATAGTCCTCTTTCAGAGGATGGAGGTGGGCGTGGAAGCCAGCTACGATGTCTGCTATAATCATTTTTTGCGTTTAGTCAATGGTTATGCATGATACGTAACCGCAAATGTACCATCTGGCCGATATTGTCGACGTGTAGTCTTGCTGCCATGCTTCTCTATGAACGTCCATTCAAAAAATGATGAATTTGTTTGTGCATTGTAGAATATTCTCCACTTCACACGTTTCTTTATTTTCAATATGTAGCTCAAGGCCCTGAAATATGGAGCAGCTCCCATTGCAGTACGTCCTGCTGACAGCAGATTCAGGTTAGTTAATGTGTTATATAGCAAATTGGCGAAAATTAATGTAGTTTTCCTTTAGTGTGTAGAGAATGAATAAAATCCACGGTTTTATGTACAACTATAGTCCTAACAGGCACTTTGGGGATCATGATATGGAGGGCACTGAATTCTCACTGTTCATCAATAAAACATTTGCGCAACTGTCATTGAGCCAAGCAGTCGAGGAAATTGTATGTATTTCTTCCACAAAGTTTACATCCATCCTCTTCTATCGTTTGAGGGAGAAAAATCTCTTGATGAGCTTTTGACTACTAGCTTTTATATTTACGCGGGTTTGAATATCTCTGCGTCTGCAGACGAAAAATCCATCAGAATGGAACCGAAGGATGACAGATGCAATGATGAAGGATTTTTCGTGGGACGCAGAATGCTCTGATATACATATTCGTGCCTATTCATCAATAAAAGAACTGTAGAGAAGTTTACAAAGAAAATGCTGGTAGGTTTTTCCGGAGACTCAGTAGGGGCGCTGCTGAATTTAATGTAAGGGATTTTCAGCCTGGTGCTGGTCATAAAAGTTACCAAGGAGGGTGTATCCAATTGAAACTTTTGAAAATTTTGATGGACTTTTTTAAGTGATAATTTATGTGAATTTCATGGATTTTTTATAGATTTGTTTGGAATTAGTGGAAGTCTTTCGTAGACTTCTACGAACTTTTATTTAAAAAAATTTTATAGGCTTTTTTAAAATTGAAATACTTTTGAAAGCTTTCATTTGAAATAGAATTCACTTGGATATAATACAGTGGTGTGAAATTCTCACTTATGAGGTGTTGATTTCCACAATTTTCCTTTCCCTCCTTTCTATATAATAAAAAAATTAAATTAAAGAATAAAAATTCAAGTACTTAATTAAATAAATAATAATCAAAATTATGTGTATATATGATAAACAATAAATTTAATATTCAATATTATTAATATAACGTGCTTTTAAAAATAAATGAAAATCAATATATTTAAATTTAATTATAAAATTTTCATATAAAATTTTATAATTTAATAAAAAAAATAGATATTTTTTAAAAAAAAAAAATGAATGAAAAAGGAGGGAAAATAAATTACAAGAATCCAATTTAATTTTTCATGAAAAATAGATATAAACAATAAAAGAGAGAAAGATAAATGAAGAAGAAAAAAATGAAAGAAAGATTGAAAAAAAAATTAAAGTCTTCCAAAATCTCATGATTAATGAGAGATAAAATTTTATATGAGTACTTTCTACTTAGAAGTTAGTACTCCAGAGATTTCTAAAAAAAAACTCTAGAAATCATTAATATTTGAATACCCAAGATTTATATAGACTTTTAACAAGTTTTAATTGAATATATCGTAATTTTTAGAGACTTTTTAAAAATTTATAAAAGTCTCAATTGTATATATCGTGATTTTTAGAGATTTCTTAAAAGTTAATTAAATACATCAATACTTTTAGAGAGTCTCAATTGTATACACCCCCTTAAGGATATGTTTGATTGCATGCATGTTAGGAAATTCAATTGTTTAGAATTTATTTGCATGAAAATTGTCAATTAATTGTGTTTGATTGATTTAATTTTTAACATAGAAAATATTATACTTGTCTG